TCTCCCGGTCCAACCAACGAAGTGACCCATGGAGACTCCAACGAAGAGACCGCCACCGGGCGACGCCAACTTCTGCACGTACTCCATGGGATCGGTCTCTTCCTCGGCGAAGGGACGGTGTCTGGAGACGACGAAGACAGGGAAGAGGGACTCCATTTGGAATGGAGGAGCAAATGTTATATATGTTAATAGATGCTCTGGGGTGCAAAGAAAATGACACGTCATTTCATTGAAGCACACAGTAGAGAACCCAGGTATGTGGCTACATACCTGGAACTGATATGATACGTGTTTTGACAGAACAGAATGGTGTCTTAAGTGGATGATACGCAAAAATCTGGGTTTCAAAATAGTTCTAGGATGTTCGAGGTCTATATTATATAACAAATTATAGTATCATGTATATAGATGTATATATATATATATAGCTGTTTTTTATTTGAACAACTCTGACTGTGGTGAAAAAATCACCAACCAAAGATGTTCTGAACTCAGAACTACACAGGATCTGTCCATTCTGTAAGCTCCTTTCCAAAAGGGTGGCCCCAGCAAACTTGGCCCTCGCAAATGAAACGACTGCAGTGAGGGTCTTCAAGAGCCTTGGTGGTGCTCTTTGGATACGTGAGTCGATTCTCTCCGGTGCCTAGAAGAGGAACGGCCAGTGCCGTCATCTCGTCTGGAGGGAGGTATCAGCAATGAAGAAAGAATGTCCCAATGTTGACCTGCCTTGCCAATCAACAAAACATGCGCAACATCTTACTTCCAAAGAGCCTGCAAAATCCTAAAGCCCTGCTGACCGATTGCAATTGCTCCCAGCCCTCGCAAATAGCACATCATCAAAGCGTGTGCAAATATTGCTTTGAGCACCCAAACCGCACACAAGAAACCTGCTGGTGTTCAGGTATATAATCACCTCCACAAGCTCCCCTCAGCACCCAACCAGGAATCGCCAGGACATCTCCTGGCGAGACCAGGCAAGTGGCCCAACTCCACACGAGTTAGTCCCCAAACCATGAAAACGTTTTGCTCACATTTCTTCCATCCCACCTACACGTTAGTTCCCAACCGTCTTCTGCCTCTTCTCCGTCGTGGCCCCGCGACCCCCCCGCCGGTACGTTCGGCGGTCCTGCGCGCGTCTCAGCTCCTCGTAGATCCACTCCTGAGGGCCTGCGGCCGCTTCGCAGGTGAGTCGACCACGTGTTCGGGTTGAAAACGACGTGTTGACATGGGTTGGGGTGTTCCATGGATGGTTCCTTTTGGAACCGCTTCATGTGCCAAAAAAACAAACAGGGCACTGCAAATTCCCCAGAAATGGACCGTTGGGGGACCATGAAGCTTCGCAAGACTTTCTCCCGCCAAGCACCGCCTTCCCTCCGCCGTTTTGTCCTGGGCCTTCCCTCCGCAGCATGGCGAGATAAAGGAAGGTGATTTGGGCCACCTGGCGGTGGAGGAGCTGCGTCACGGACGACGGCATGGACGACCGCCACGGTCGTAGCTGTCGGAGTAGAAAATGGAAGAGAATCAGGTAGAAAGTCCCTTCTCACCTGTTCGTTTCCTGGATGCTCCATCATAAGGTCTTGAGAACCTGGAGACATGGTTCGGGTATACGGTACAATACTGTATATAGACAGTGCATCTTGTTTCACAAAGGAACAGTGAAAAGCTGCTTCGTGGTACCCCTACACCAAATGCAGCTCAAGTGATTTGCTCTTTGTATGCTTTGATGTTAGGGACATGATAAATCATCCTCGATAGCGCCATTGCTTCGAGTCAATTAAGCAATTCTTGCTTCCCAGTGTTTCTAATAAATCACTAACTCCTCACCCCAAAGTAGTTTATCAATGTTGATCATCCACCACAGTCCCATGGTTTGCGTCCCATTCCTGGAAAACTGGACGTATGTGTGACCTCCATCCATGCGGTCAAGCCCACATCCGTGAGGGTGATGTCGACGCTGAAGAGGCTGCACCTCAGTCATGCCGGACTTTGTCGAAAATTGGACCACTCAAGAAAAGGGTCCCTCTGCAACCATGGCTTCTGGGCAGACTGCCCCTGGCATATGAGGGACTTTCAAAACGAATATACACCAAAAAGATCGTATCTACTTAGGCTTCGTGTTTGATGTTCCCCCCTTCGTTGACCAAGCATTGTCACGAGTCAGTGTATTATGCCCTAGATACCAAACCCATTTGTTCTTGTGTTTTGGCTTCGTTTGGGCCTTCGGTTAGACTTCGTTCCAAGTCACTCCAAATAAAAAACCCTCAAAACCCTGAAAATGAAAGAATCGAAGAGAGAGTCCCAGGAGGAGGTTTCGCTTTTGGTTTTCCAGGGTTGATTTGTGTACCATCCAAAAAGTCACCTGGCTACCCTACACAACTCCCACACCCCACTGATGGTAGACCGTCTGCTTTCACCATCTTTCACCAGTTCACGATGTTCGATCTTCACCCGCGAAGAGAGTCCAAGACCATGTTCAAAATGCTCTGACTCGGCGACACGACGTGAAGGAGCTTCCTTTAGACTTCCGTCGGTGAACAAAGCCTCTTTGATGTCCGGCATACAACCTGACCCGCTCCGCAACGTCAGGCTTCTTGCTCAGGTTAATCCGTCCACGTGAAGACCTCCGGACCATCCGCCGGGCCGAGGGGCATCCAGTTGCTGGTGAAGTCCTCCTCGCTGACGCCGGCCTCCACTTCCGTGGCCAGGCCTGGAGGGAATGAGTGCCGAGCAGGGGAGGTCATCTTCATCGGTTCAGCAGCGTTGCGTGCTGATAGGCCGGACCTGATGTGGCGCCTGCTGTTGGGTGAGGGTTCGTCCCCCCAAAAAACAGATCAGGTTTAGGGGATGTTAAGTCATGGCTTCTATGATGGTACAGGCTGAAAGGTTCTATTTTGGCTAACTTTTCTTTGGCCAGGTTTGATTCATCGTGCAGCTTGGGGGAAGTTCGAAATCCCCGAAGCTGCCGAGACCTCGATGGTTTTTGTGCATTGCTCCCCGAGGCCCTCCCACCTTGCTGCTTCAGGAAGGATTGCAATGAGCCAGCACCCTCGTGCCCCACCAAGTGCCCCAGGTAGTTCCTCAGTGCAGTGCGGTTTTGTCCTCAGCTCAGCCAACACGTCTGGGCCGCCCTTTTTTTCCACTACTCCTCCCTTCTGAAATTCAGATCGTTTGGAGAGTGTGGAAGACGACAGCTTTTCCACGCTATTCCCATGGACCCACCCACATCGGCCCCATGGGCCCCATCGGCCCCATCGGCCACCGACTGGACCGACTGGACCACGACTCGCCAAGGCACAAGGGTTGTGACCGATAGTCCTGGGCGCCCAACGGTTGGACGCGAGGAAAAGGCAGAGATGTTGGACCCTCCAATGGGTTGATTCGGTTCATTTGCATTCTATTCCGTATCCATCACAAGCGTATTACGTATTTGAGGGCTTGTCAAAGCAGAAACAGATCACGAAGCAGCTAGCTATCCAACTTGGGAAAAAAGAGAACGCACGTTTGGTCCTGCTGCGTTGCTGGAAGCTGCCAAGTGAAGTGCAATTTCTGCAACTCCTCGAACAGCAACCCCATGTCATGCAATTTCACACCCCAAGTGGTCTTTGGCTGAGGGGAAGCAAGTTGGGCTAGGCACCCCTAGGACCTAGGATGAACTCACTCCGACATCAACTTGCTGGAGGGGAGCAAGTACTTCACTGACAGGAAGAAAAGGGGACCCATTCTCGGCTTTCGGTGCATCAGTGTGCATCAGAAGCCAGGAAACCATGACGAAATCCAGGACTGTTGACCGTGTCGACATCCACAGAGACTCACAGTGCAATTGTCTGTTCAGGACTGAAACACATGGATGGTGAAATCTCGATTCTGGAACAAATCTCTCAAGGTACACGCACTCACTAGTAGTGGTGGCATGACAGCTACAGAAAGTCCCCTCCTGCACTGGTCGCATGCGGAGCAAGCTGGGCAAGATCGAATCCTGGAAGTTCCATCAGGCGCGAAAGGGGGAGCTTCAGCCACTCCACCAAGCCAACTCGCAGAAAAATCCACCAAAATCAACGGGCTATTTTTTGCGCATCAAATTTATCTTTTGCTGCTCTTGGCATGCCAGGCCAGGCATCTCTGTTCTTCTCAGGAGTTGATCCTTTTATGGACAAAAACCCGGAACCTTGCTTCCTTCTTACACTCCATGTATGGAATAGTTACCTATCCTACATTGGGGTCATAAATGGAGTATATAAATGTCCACAACTCTTCCATACATGGAGCGTCCGGGTTCAAAGGCTTCCTCCGCAGCGGGGGCCTCGAACGTCGGCATTCGCGTCGACCTTCGATGGAAGATCCTTCCCAAGCAAAGCTGGAACCCCTCGAATCTGGTTGATGAGGGTGGACGCGTCCAAATAAATCAGCGGGGACGTCAGAGTTGCAACAGTTCCTTCCTTCAAAGTGTGTCGTTCACTGGGTTCACTGTCTCAAGAAGCTTGCGTTCCGAAATCCGTGCGACCCCACCACTCCTCGAAGGGCCACACCGGTCTCGTGCGCGGCTGCGGCGCTTCCGGGCGTCCGGTCAGCGCTTGGAAGGCGCTGGCGGCCTGCCTCAGCGCCCCAAACGAACGGAACAAAGTCTAAAACGCCCTGAAGCACCGGCGGAAACGGTGAGTTCGATCCACCACGGGCTCTCGGGACTCGAGGCGACAAGAATTTCCACATCTCGATTTGCTGGGGGGAGACCCCCGAGGCCACGGGACGCGACCATGTGGGGACCATGTGGGACAGTTCAGGACTTCTTTCATTACCTTCCGATCAATCAAAGAATTGGACAGCCCATTGTTGGTAGTTCATCATCTTCCTGGTGAGGCCACAAATCGCAAAGAAAGGGAAGGGCGTCCAAGCTGGTTTCGAGTGTTACCTTTGGAGGCAGAGGCTTTTTCTTGCCACAGATCCATAGCCTTCACCATAGAGACCCGACGTCTGGACACAGGTGCTCTTCCGGCCCCTCTTTTCCTCACTTTTGGTCTTCCAAGTCAAATATTCTATCTGTTTCATGTCACCTCCCAGCTATGCACTTGCTTCACACGCTTCACACATGTGGGCGCTGAATCAAAGACCCTTCTTTTGCAGTTGGCACAGATGGTGTTTCCCTTTTTGCTCACAAATGTGTCATTGCCATGCAGCGATACAATTAGCCAGCATGGATCTGCATCAGCCTGCTTCTTTGTCTCAAAGTGTTTTTTTGCAGTTCCTGCAAGATACCTTGAAACGTCCCTCCTCTTTATTCAGCTTTCGATTGCGTTCTACCAGCGCAGATGCTGAGAAAAGGTTATCGAAATCTTCAGGTGATTGATCGCAAATCTCTTCAAGCAAGGCTAAACCGCAAAGGGGAGCAGCCTCGCGTGTGTGTTGTCGAAGCTGCGCCAACTCTTCGCCGGAGATCTTGTTGCACCTCGACCAATTGAAGAGCAGCCTCACGTGTGCTTCAGGTGGAAGAACGCAGTCATCCAGGAGCTGTAAGAACTCCTGAGATGAAAAGTCTGCTGCTTGCTCTGGAAGAGACTCAAGCAAGTCCATGCATCGAGTCGTTTTCCAAGCGGCAACAAATGTTTGCCGAAGCATGTCCAGAAAATCTGTGTGCATCTGTAAGTATTTTGCCTCGCGGATCATGCTGATGCAGTTGGAAGCATTGATTGCATCTTTTTGCTGAGTATACATCCATCGGAAGATAGGCTCCAAGCGACGGCTGCATATTTTGTCCGACGCTTTAACTGTATAGCCAGGAAGTCCTTCAGTATCATCCAGAAGAGATTTCAATAAATCGCTGGAGTCGGTGACAAAGCATTTGTGTAGAAAAAATACGCGGCCATCAGCGCAATGCAGCTCAATGTCTGAAGCAAATGGGTTTCCAAACCACTGGGCCGCATTTTCTCTGGTCATCTCGGCTGTCTTCAGTGGATGGTCATCTGGGAGATTTGGAAAGCACCTTCTTTCTTGGGTGCTCATGGACGAAACAGCCCAATGGATGCAAAGAGCAGTGCTTCTGTCTGAGCTGCAAACAGGCTGCAAGCCGCCAGGGTGTGTACCAAACCCGTGGAAGGGGAGATGAGAGAAAGATACGTTCCGCAACACTCACACACTTTCTTCCAGAAAGAAAGAGAAACAACAACTCTCCGACCTCAGCTAAAAGTGTTTGATTCTTCTACACCGACTTGCGATCCTGGTTTCAAGTGTGAAAAATAAAAACGACTATACAACCGTGGCCATCAAAAGTAGAGTCGACCCCATCATCAGGAGAAATCCCCAACTGCAACGCTGGATTCTTCCAACAGTAAAGCCACTGAAAAAGACTCTGGATTCCCCTTCCAAGTAACAGTATATAATGCCTATGGCCAAATAAGCATTACTTATATAAGCTTCACTGGGAAAAACATGGAAAAACTACTCCCGACATGGCCCAAGGCTTGGCCCAAGGGACTCCAAGGACTCCAAGCTTTCGACACCAAAGAGGCACACGCGAAGCTGTGCCGCCTGCGCTCGAGTCCACTCACAGGTGGGACAAACCACTGGGCGGATCGAGGGGATCTCTGCGAAAACGTGGATGGAGTGTTTGAGCTCAGGGGGATGGTGACCCATGCGGGGTGATGTCATGGTCTCAATGTTTCCAGGAAACAGAAGTGCGGGGCGAGCTCATGCGCGTCGTGGGCGGAGCTCCGGCCTGATAATGCTCTTGAAAGAAGCTCCGAAGCTCTTGGTGGATGTCCACCTGTTGCTTCCGGGGCTCCGCCTGCTGCGTGTGTCGACGTGCTGTGAGGGGTTGACTTAGAGCCCAGTCTGGGGTGTCGGTTTGGAAAGCCCCCCAGGCGCACCCTGAGGCGGACGTTCATTGTGACAGGACGCTGGGAACGACAAAAGGATCTACCACGCGCGTGAGATCCACTGGTCTTTTAGCTGAGCTTCTTCGAGCTTCTTCGAATACAAGACTCCAGTGCTGCGCTCTTATATGTACATATTATGTACCAGCAAAACGGATGAAAGGGCAAGTTTAGTATCCGATATGCTTCATGGGAATCGGATCAAGTAGTCGGCTAGGCAACTTAGCGGTCAGCAAGTTCTTCAATATATGCCACCACTTGCTGCCAAGAGCCAACAATCTGGAAAAATATATGCCTTTGGTTTATGATAAAGGCAAAAAGATGCAAAAAGAAGTTTCTCAACATTCACTGAGCACTTCCAACAGTCGTAGGCCATCGTGCTTCACTAGCCAGCAGCTGGTGAAAAGTGCCCCACTCAAAGCAAAGGTTGCTGTCATCATCACCCAATGCTTGTCATACATCTTCGTGAGTTGTTTGGCCCTCTCGAGTCCTATTCCCCACGAAGTGCACAACACCACATCCACGGTCGTCAAAGCACAGGTCCACCCCAACTTCACCAGGATGCACACCACGGTGATGTTCATGTGCTCAGCTGTGGTACAATCGAAGAGGTAGTAGTACTGACGGTTCGGATTGCGGTCGTCCATCAGCCAAACAAGTGGAGGTAGTGCGACCAGCACGGGCCAGAAGCGCGCCACGTCGACTTCACACTGGGACCACAAGGCCTCACGGGTTTCCTGGCTGATGCCTTCTCCCTTGCTCCTGGCGGCCAAAAAGCAACGTAAGAACGAGAACAACAGTCCGGATAACAAACCAACAAGCGACGAACACCAAGAGCTGAGCTTGACACCAAGGACGACAAACACAAGACGTCTCCTGTCTGAGACAACGCATTTCCACAGCACTCGCAATTGGAGAGCGGCCCCGATCGTGTCGACAATCACGACTCCCACAAGGGCCCACCAAGAGTTCGTACTGGGGAACAGGATCACCTGGCGAATCCAGCGCTGGGCTAGAACGTCCAGCGCTTGCAGTCTCAAGGTACATTCGTAGTCGCAAGTGTCGGAAAAGACGATCCTTTACTTTCACATCTGTGGTTCCATGTGGGTCACGTTTTAAAACCAACGAACAAAAAAAACTAACAAACGGGCGGCCCGGTGCATGGCATGCATGGCATATGGTTTCAACATATTTTGATAACTCTCAGACGAAGCCCTCAGGGTCTTGTCTGTCACAAGACTTGGAGTGTTCGCTTCCGACGTCACATGCGCTTCGCTTCCCGCCTCGGAGAAGGTCAGCAAGCAGGAGAAGACCAAGGAGTTGCCCACCTGTCGGGCGTGGGCGCGTCCGCACATGTGTCGGAACGCGCGGGCGGTAGAGGGGTCTGAGAGTTGCCCACGGGTTGCCAGACGCCAACGCCAATGCTGTGAGTCAACGGATATTTTAGGAAAGAGAAAAGTGTTTCCAAGTCCCAAGGCATTCAAGAACCAAACCTGGTTAGCACCGAGAAGTGGCAGCAGCCCTCAAAGGACATACACCCCTTTCTCAGATATGTCCAGACCTACTGCACCATTTATTGCACCATCAAACTCAGTAAATCAAAATGGACCACCAATTTGTGGTTGTGGAAAGTTGGCGTTGGCCGTCAGACGCGAAGACAGCCTGGTAGTAGTGCTCGAGGCTGTAGCCTGCCCATGGAATCAGAATTTGCAGTACCTGGAAGCGAGGGATGGTGAGATATGGTGAGGATGGCCAATGTGAGACGTTCTGTTCTGTCCTGAATAAGTTCCGGGCCTTGTCCGAAATGATGCCCACCACTTCCATCAGGATCCATGATGCCAGCGCGGCGCAAAGAATCAGCACGGGGGTGTTGAAGAAGGCGCTGGCGAAGACAATGCCGCACAAGAGCAGCACGGGTGCCAGGGTGAGGAAGTTGTAGACAAAAATGAGTATAAGGGTCTTCACGTTCCAATAGCTTCGATCTGCTAAGACCAGGAACAGCCAGTCCACCATGGCAAAGGTTGGAGGGGCACCGTAAAGCATGTTGTAGGAGTAGATGAGGTTCGTTCCCCATGGCACGGCGCACAGGAAGTAGCCAGTGCACCAACCAAAGATCACCAAGAGGTAGAAGATCACCCTCTTGGCCGTGTCTTGCCAGGTGACTTTGCCAAGGTAACTGATCGCACTGGAAGACCGGGCCATCTCCTTCCCATTGGGTGGGCGCACCAAGAGGAGCTCCAAGCGTCGGTATTGGCCTAGCATGGGAGCACAGTGGAGCACAGTGGAACAGCTCCGTACTGTAGAGGACATGCCATCCGCTAAAGACCTTTGGAATAAAGGGTCACTGAAGTGTCCACTCACAAAAAGCAATGCCAACAAGTGACCGGGGAGGTAGTAGACGATCACGAAGATGTTATACCCATAAAAGAAGGACATGTTGCCAAGCGCTCCCGCATTGGGATCATTGATAGGGATCAGCAAGGGAAGGGGCACTGCGATGATTGAGAACACCAAAACGAAGAGGAACTGCACCATAAACTTCTGCTGCTGGGTGAGACACCCCCATTCAACCGCTGGTGCTGCCTCTTGGGCCATGCTCAATGCAGTCCTCATGAATGCAAGACATGGAGACATGCATCGCATCAGCTGAGTGTGTTCATACAAAGCACAAATTTGGCATGTGATGTTGGGCGGACTTTATCTCGTGTTGCAACGTATTATATTGTACTTATATAGGTTCTGGGGTATGCCTATTATTTGTGCGATATATTTAAAGGACATGATTCATTACAAGCGACATGAAAAAAGCCTCTTCTTACTATTTATATATATATATATATTATATGCATGAAAGGTGATCTCGTTGCCTTCCATATCTTTCGGCAAGAAGTTCTGTTGCCGATGAACATACTGGAAGCTTTGTACTACTTACTCAGAGACTCTGTCGTTCAGCACCTTCCATTCGGAACCGAGCTGCTCACACTGGGCTTTCAACTGCTTGATCTCAACTGCCTGCAGTTCAATGGCCATCCCTTGCCTTCCCATCTCAGCATCTTGCTTCTCGAGCTGCGCTTTCATGGTGGACCTTGGGAACCAGAGTCAAACGACTGCAGTCTCGATTTCGTCTTGTTACTTCATGTTACTTCTGCCATTGACCCGAACGCGCTCGTTTTGTTGGAAGTCTGGTGGGACACAGCAGAAAATACTCGAGTTGACTTGTCTGCAGTCACAAGTGGCACTTGCTGAGTGAGCTCTTCAATCTTTACTTCACCTCCACAAGCAACTAAGCAACAGGCGCTGTTCGTGGCAAAACCAGACAGGTCGCTAACAAAACCAAGGTTACGGTCCCAAATGGAAGCTGTGATGGAAGCGCTGTCCGGATCGATCGCAAAACCCTCCCTCCGTCCTTCCGGCTCCAAGTTCACGTTGAAGGCCTCAACAGCCACCAGCTCCGCATCATCCGGTTGTGCACAGCATGCCATGTCTGTCTGTGCTGACTAAAAGTGCTCTTCCAGAGGTGCCACACGTGACAGTGAAGAGCCCTCCGCAAAGCCCTCTGCAGAGCGCTTGATTGGCAAAAAACTGCGAGACCATGCCAGCAGTCGTGTGAAACTACAGTGCTAGTCAAGGAATGAACCTCTAGTGAGGGCAGTTGAAGCCCCGCAAAATATCAGGTCCCACTCCTGCAGATACTATGCGGGCTAAGCCTTCGGTTGGCCAAGAAAATCTAGGATTCCCGTTTCGCAGCAACAGTCACACACTAAATAGTCAATTCCATCGAATCCGGCAGCCAAGAGTGGACCCACTCCCCCCGTGCCTTTAGGCTTCGGAGATTGCCCCACCCAAAGCACTTGAAGGGCCAGCGGGCCTCACAACGGCAAGTGTCTCAGCTCCAGAATTCGGTCCAACTGGTCCTCACAGGCTGGGACCGCAATCTTCTCGCCGATGAAAGGAGGAAGAACTTCCTTTCAACCACCTTTTCAGACCTCAGCCATCCTCATACGCAGCCTCCCCTCTCATCCCAGACCGTCTTGGCCGCGCCACGAAGTGGCTCAGCAGCCCTTCCAAGCGCGAGTCGTCGTTGTTCTGCGTGAGCCGGAACTCCGACTCGATCGCCTCGATCGGCTCGGCGCGACTCGGACGCCGTCTTGGTCCGCCCCCGACCGGGTGACCGGTTCGGTCGGGCCGGTGCAGGATCGAAGAAGCCAATGCAACAGGTCTGTCGAGGTCAATTGGGGTGAAGAAAGGGAATGGACCAGCCCACCGATGTGGGCGTTCCTTTTCTTTGAGTGCATCACACCGTCAGGACAGATCGGTTTTCCATGCTGGAGAAATTCCACCAAAAAGAATAGTGCATCCATTGCCAACAGAAGTATAGGTGAGTGATGTCCAATTGAATACTCTCTACTCCGTCTGTGGTCCGTGTTTTTTCCTTTTTGAAAGGGCAGAGTCACCAGCGCGCTGTTTCAACCACACTGTTTCAACGCGCATCGGTGGACCTCCGGACAAATGACTCATTTGACCCCAACAGTCCCAGTCGTGGTGAATTGTGCCACTCGTGGGGTTCGTTTCAGTCCAGTTCCGGACGTTCAGGGCCGGGCCCAATTCGGGCCACCGCGCCACCGATGGCACTGAAGAGTCGCCTGCAGTTCCCTCTCCGCGGAGTCTGTTTTGAGGAGCGGGGCCACGAAGAACTGAGCCAGCCTGGGCTGTTTGAGGTGCCCTCAGGGTGAGAAACCACGGGACATGCTTGGGAGGGTCCCGGTTGTTTTGTGGTTGTTTTGAAAGATCGCCCCGCCCGAATCCAAGTGTCTCATGCATTCGATTGGCAAACATCTCGCTTAAGGAAAATTGTCAGGTATTCTATATTGATTGGAACTCTTTTATCAAATACACCCTCAAAGCAATTCATTGTCACTGGACGGGAGTTCTACAAGCGAGTAATTCTTATGGAATCTCTTTTCCGATGGCATTGTCCGTCAAAGTCAAAGTGCGAAAAACAGGTAGAAAGCACATAATGTTAACAACCAAAAAAAACAAAAATATAGTAACAATAACAATACTGTCAAGATGTTGTTTGGCATTGTCTTCAATTCCTATAACAGGGGACTACACAGGTCTCTCAGGCGGCGGGGGGCCGTGTCCGGAGCAAACCTGGAAGTGGGAAACCGATAGAAACCCTCTTTGTACAGTAGAAACACATTTTCCGCCATATTAATATACATATCAATACATCTCAATGTCATTCAATGTCAATATTACCTATTTTCTGTAATGTCAATGTCAATGTCATTTCAATGTTAATATATACATAGTCGTCCCATTCTTTTCACAATGCCTTCGTGTGGGCTTTGCCGGGCCCGGAAGCCGTGCTTGAATTGGTGCGTGTGACAGAAGACGAGACCGCGCTCCCAGAAGACGTCGGCAAAACTTCAAGGGCGCCCCACCAGATCACTTGCCATCCATGTGTACCGGGCTCGGGCCGTGGAAACACCGACCTTCCGACCTTCCGAGGGGCAAGTCCACTGCCTGGTGAAGCGCGGACTTCTTGACCTCGAAGTAGTAGCAGGTATGGGTACCTTGGTGCCGAGGCCTTGGGGCCACCGGCGCCGAAAGCCAAAAGGCCGAACAAACGCAGGGTCCAACGTCTTCATGGTCCTCAGGGAACTGGGGATGTCATGTTACTAGTAGCGTTCTTGTTACTAGTAGTAAGGCCAGGAGCAACTAGTAGTAGTAGTAGTAGTAGTAGTAGCAACCCTTTGCTACTAGTAGCTTATTGTGGGGATGCAAATCTTGAAAATTGTGAATGATGAGAACGAACAGGTCCTTTTGCACCGGACAAAATTACCTGATAGCACTTGTGTGAGGAGATACTCCAGTGCATGTGTGGTCTTCCAGGATATTCTAAAATCTCCCAACAAGGATGCCAGAAGAGCATTCCTCCCTAAGTGGTTGATGTTGGGGAATCAGGTATAAGGTCCACCGCTTCGTGGCTTTGCTACCACGCCAACTTCCGGCGAATGGTCCCGCAATTGAAAAAAACCATTGGCGCTCGACTGATCTAGGATGTCTGTCATGGTGCAATCTGTGAAGGCATTGCTTGAGCCCCCATGTTTGGAGAGGAAGGCTTCCATCTCATCCTCACCTCAATCAGTGAGCGACGCGCGGCCGGTGGAGAGATTGACTGCGGGGGAAAGGGGGGTGGTGCGATTGAGTGGATGATTGAGCTGCTGGGATTGAGGACTTTAGATGTTAGAGTGACTAACAAATGGAGGCTCTCAAAAAGTAGCTTTGGCTCTGTAAGAGCTGGCAATAGATTTGGGTGAGCGTCCCCTGGTCATTTCCCATGTCTAGGACTGGTAATGGACGATGAGACAATGACCAGCTCGCCCCAACGGGTGTTCACCCATTCTCCTTTTCCGAAATCGTGTGCACCTGGATACTTCTTGCTGCCCATGAAGAGCATGTGCTCCAGGTAATGCGCCAAGCCCTCCAGTGAAACGCCAACCCTCACGATCGACGCAAGATCCCCGACGGCGGGGGGAGTGGCTGCCGTCGTCAAGAGGCCATGAAGATCCGTTCCATGCGGAGCCTTCCACCGCTCTTGAGCGGCACTTCTCAAGCAGTTTGGTCTTTGGGCTGCTCTACGACTAGTTGATGTTCAAGAACTGCTGCTTTGCGTTGATTTGATGATTTGATCTTTGCTCACCTACCGTCAGGAGGCTCATACTGTAGTCCATCATCCCCACATCCATGCAATATGCTGGGGGGGCTGGCAGATCCGGCCTGACAGCTGAATGGATCGTTGAAGGATCCGGCTTGCACCGCGCAGGCGCATGCCTCGGAGCATATCATGCTGCTCCAAGAGAATGATGGAAACTTCCAGAGCTGGTTCAAATGATCTTCCTCTACCAGGCGTGGTCTGTGAGTTTCTGAAAGGGCTGGTCAGTGCTGATCCAAATCCAGAGTGCTGGCCGATCCGCTCGAAGTGGGGGACCTTCGCCCTGCCCTTTTCCGTCGGGCCGACCGCAGCTTCGACCTCGCGGGCCTTCAGCCGTCCGTGGAACACCACTACCCCACCGCACGTGTCAACTCAGAAGCATAGAGGGGTGCAAAACAAAATCTTCAAAAAAGTGCTCACTACCTTAAAACTCCCAAAAAGTGCCCAGACCCCTTCAAAGGCGCTCTTTGCAATCCATGTTTCATGGTTGTTGGATGTTGCCCAGTCGCGCCATGTTTCGTGGTGGCCTTCATAGCTCCCAAAACACATCAGTTGGATGTTCACTGTAACTCCCACGGTCTCAACCAACCAATATGTGCCGGCAACTCTCTGTGAAAACAAACCCAGCTGCGCTGCGACTCTTCTTCTGGTCATCACTGGAGACCTCGGGACAAAAGAAAGCACATGATGAACAATGAACATGCCCCACAAGCGAGTTTGTGCTGAGTTCGGGGCATCTGGGGCCCGCTTTTCGACCAGAGCAGTGGAGGACCAATGTTTCTCCATGTTAAAGCTGAACTGCGAAGCTTACAATAGGCATGTTCCAACTTGGAAAGACCGCTCCCAAAAGATGTGGAAAACTCTTCGGATGCCAGCACCATCATGCCATCCAACTGTCCAGTCAAATAGAAAAGAAACAGTGACACCTACAGATGTGAACTCAGCAACCCCCATGAAACCCGAAATGAAAGCTCTCAGCTGAGACCGGCAGCTGCCATAACTCTCCACATGATCAAACGATTGATTCTACGCTCGCTTTCGGCACTGTCAATGCTAACCTTGCTCCTGCTACAGCCTGCGGTGCAGAACGTTGCATAGTAGACTTTCTGACTTGCCCTCGGTATCAGGTTGCAGAATCCCACCGTTGAAGGCCGTGCATCGAGATGCACTCCACTCAAAACTTATCAAACAAATATGATAATCTGTTGACATCCCTACAAGCACAGGAATATAGACACTGCTTATAATTCAAAAAGGAGAGGTTCTTTTTCTGTAGTTCCCGCCCTCAAGGATCTGGCAAGGAGCACTTCTACTCCATTCTCAAAGGCCAACCTCATGGAATTCGATACGTCGATACACATGAGAAGTGTCTTCGACACACAGGACTCTGGTCACCTGAACTGAAATGAATGCAACAAACCAGCTTGTTTATAGACATGATAAGCTGCAAAGCTTGTTTTCAGTCCAAGCAGGTGCTAAATCGTTGAAAACCCAGCTGTGCTTGGACGAGGTGATTCTCCGGGGATCAGGGTTGACCCGCAGGTTTCATGTTTACTCGCCCCCGGAAGGACCCGATGACCAGAGCCGTTGGCCATCGAACACGGTCCGTTCGAAGCACCGTTCGAAGCACCCCGACGAACTGCTGTGGAGACCAAAACGACCGAGCAGAGCCTCACGTTCTCTCACACTTGACCCAGACATGTGTTCAGCTAGTCACTTGTAAGAATCTCATCCAAATCTGTAATCTCATGGGATCCTGAGAACCTGAGTCAGATGAAAACATCGAGGGAAAACGACTTCAAAGTCACACGAAGTCACACGGCCCTCCACAGACTATAGAATTGGACACAAAGTGCCAAATCCATCCGAATTCAGGCTTGCGCCGAGGGGCCAGCGGTAGGCAAACTGATCCTAGCTCGAGTCTGTCTGTCTCTCGCTGCGACACTTCGCTTGGCCGAAGGTGGTTGGGTCGCAGAAAGCCTCTGAACCCAACCGGGGCTCCCATCGATCGTGAAGGGTACCAAGTGGGAAGCTTCTGGCTGTCAATTAGAGAGCGTGAACAGCTTGTGTTCCACTGCGTTGCACTCCCTAAAACCCCACCTGTTGGTGATGTTGTTTCATGTGTCTCATTTCCTCTCTCTTTTTGGTCTGAATCCAAAGCAGACGGTCTCACGTTCATTCCGGTTCATTTTACATAGTCATACCGAGTCATACCCCGACTTTTCGTCAAGGGGGTGCGTCGGCGTGCAGGGGAAAGTGGTAATCCAAGGGGCCCTTTTCCACTTATATACATGATTATTTCAGGGACTGTAGAAACAATTCTTTGATGAACCGGCAGCGCCACAAAAAGACTTGAAGCAGGTTTCCACTATACAACCCGAACCTCCCAACAGGTCATCACTGCAGACCTTACCAAAACTTTAAAAAAAGAAACACCTCCAACCCAACAACCCTCCCTGCTCCAGAAACTCGAAAGAAACCTGAATAGCTGCGTCGACTGAGTGATGCGGTTTTTCTCGGATCCTCCATATCCCCACGTTTCACCTCTGTTCGCCTCTGCGAGTGGCGTTCGGAGACTTTTCGGGCACCGTCCGCCACGGGCCACGCGGGCGCTTGGCAGGAGGCCCGTCGGACGTCATGGCGTCGATACGGCATGAGTCAGACCCCCAGCACAACACCCAAGGAAAGACAAAGGAGGTACCAATTGAGACCTCTTAGAGCCCAACAACCCTCCTTTCAGGAGACCTGTTGGAGGGTGCTGGTGTGTGGAAGAAACTTTAGTCACAAAGCCAGATCTCCTTGCTCCGAAGTGACCCCCGAAAAGAAAATCAGCCGTCTCCGAGAATGAAGCGAGGGCAACCACATCCCGCTGGCTAGAGTATCTGGCCGCGAAAGAGAAGGCAGTACAATCTTGAAATGTCCCCTGTTCACGCGCATCAACAGCCCTGCAACCTCACCGCAAGCAAACTTTACAACATGCATGTGTCTATGTGAGTCTCATCTACCAACATCAACCCTTTCTCCGGACTGGGTTTGGGAACACTTCTGGTTTGAGTCGGGCGAGAAAAAGTCTCATGTAGAGGCACGTCGCTCTGGGCCAAAAAGGCATCTTGGGATGACATGGGGTCAGTTCAGCGGATCAAAAGAATTCAACCTGGGACCTGATGACTTGTAGATCACCTCGAACAGCCTAGCACCTACCTGAAGACAGCGCTCCTCGCTCCTCTGCACTTGGGAAGTAAATCTATCTGTGCATTCTCAAAAGAAAGAATGAAGTACAGTAATTACATGTAATTACCGTTGTTTCATCTTGAGATTGCAACTTCAGATATGCCGCGAAAACGGGTTCCAACACATCTGGTTTACATTGACCATCACTTTCGCTGCACACACACCCTTCGCACCTTGGGAAAGGGCTCGCCCCTCCCTTGCGATCGCACGACTCACCCGCTTGCGATGGCGGCCTCAACCAGGATGATGCGGCTGCGATGTTGTTGCCCTCCGCCACAGGGCAACGAACAGCCCTGCCGGCGGGCCAATTGACTGCCCTAGCCTAGGAAAGGGCGGTTTTGCTGCTTTGCCTTGGTGTCTCATACAAGGAACCAGAAAAACATCCGGAACCTCTGGTCACCTGTCTATTTGCTGTGGAGTTGCAGGAGGCCATTGATACCTTTTGGTGCAAAGAACAGCTTTGCCTTCGCAAATCGAAGTTGTCTTTCCTTCGTTGGGCCCTTCGTTTGTGCAGGGCTTTCTGTAGGATCTTACAAGTTCGGCGTCAAAGAATCTGCTAATGCTCCCTTCCTTGTTGTGAGCTCACCAAGTGTTACATCAAAACAAGGTTTATATACCCTCGCAATCTGCTCATGATAGTGCGCCCTGTAAAGCCCTTGAGCTCCCCAAACCCGCCGATCTGCCTGCCAGTCGTTCCACATGCTGAACTCGCAATCGCGAATCGTGGAGGGGCAAGCCTGTGTCAGATTGCTGCCGACCCAAAAATTACCCTCACACCGCTCTGAACGCTTACACAGCGGCTAATCGGTCCTCAAAGGGGCCTTACCCACAAGTTTATGCAACAGATCTTCACGGCAAGCAAAACCGTGTGCTGCAACCCGAGTGCACCCGCGGAGACATCCTTTGTTTTTTGGTCAACCGGGCATCAAAAGGCCGACAGCTCCTCAGCTCAAACCGGAGGTGCAAGCTGCGACTCCCGAGAAACCTCTGTGTTGCACTCTGAAATCATCATGGTGATGTTCTTCTCGCAGCGTTTCCCTGGCTAAAGATTGGTCAAAGACAGCCCGAGTCGAGAAAATCAGAGAAATGAGAACAAACGGAAGAACCCCACCAGTAAAAAGAGCGCGATTATTGATGACAAGGCAGAAGCGCAAGAAACAGCTGAGCTTAGGTGAAACAGCCATTTTAGGGGGAGGACAAAACTTGAAACAAACTTCCCCCCACCAACCAACGGGTGAAACAGCCCGGCTTCGCCTCCGTGCCGTGGCAGTCGCACCACCTCCCGGCTGCGGCTGGCCATACCACCCCCGCAGCTGGCGGTGCACGCGGAGAGCCTGGACCGGCGGATGGGTCGTTGAGACGTCGAAGTCCCACCCTACAGTAGTTAGGCCGACCGACAGTAGTTAGGAGGTTCCTTTGCGGGTCACTTGTAAAGTGACTCCCAGGGTTAAGACTGTTTTGGTAAAAGGAAACAGTGATGTCCATAGTTGCGTGGGATGCTTTAAGAATTCCCAGCCTGTCCCAAAGGTTCGAGGAAGGATACTGTATTGTGAAAGACTAATATGTAACTGGGATGCACTTACTGTTTGTTGATCTATTCACGCTGTGAAGTCTCTAGAAACCAGAGGACCTAGGAAATCACGAGGATGCTAGCATGTGATCCATTTATATAAATGTTAGGTCCTAATTAGGTATACGTTTGGCGTAGCAGGCGTAGTACCCTTGTCTCCCTTGAATAACCAAACGATGTTTACCGTCAACACCAGCTCCTCCATGTCTTCGATGTGACGAACCAGGAAGTTTGCGCTCTCTGCTATTTAATGATGAGTGGCTGCAAACTAAAGCAGTCATCAAATACTATATATATATATATGTTTTAAAAAAAGAAACTGGTTACACCATGTTACACCCAAACGCGACGATTTCCTCCCAAAAAGTGCGAAATGCCTAAAATCGATTTCAGCCGTTCGAACATCGAAAGACTGCCGCTCTGAGCACGCAGCTGGCTCCAATCGCCCCATTTGCAATCCACTTTCACGGGACACCGCTCCAGCGCGCAGGGCCTCCGACGACCATTTTTCACGAAAACTTGGAGAGGTCCCAAATTCGCTGGAAGGCAACAGGGTGCTTTGTTAATCTTTGTTCCTGTGTCTGGAGGCCTCTTTGGTAGGTTTGTGGGAAATCAAAGCTGGAGCATGCTCCTTTCTCTGCTTGAGACGGACCAGCTCCAGCAAGAGGCTCCCCACGACCAAGGACATGCTGCAAACCAAATGCTCCACTCTCTACCCCAGAGAGTCCAGTGACTGGACTCTTTTCAGCTCTTTTCACTCCGAACGGGTAGTGGTGGATGAAACACCAACAGGGGTCGCGTAGTTCATGAGTCAAAACGCTTCACCGAGTTGTGAACCCGCTGCATGCACCAGCTAAGACACCCGGCTGAAGTTCGAAAGCTCCTCCAACACAAGGCTTGCCACCACCCTGGAGACGTCGAATTTGGATGTATTTGTTCCGACTCGTCGGAGGAAGACCCTGTTCTTCCTCTTCTGCGGAAGGCGAACAAAATCATGCCGTCCGTTGCACTGACGACATGTCATTCCACAGCCACATCTTTTGGGGAGCATGAGCATTGTTGGGGCCGCCAGCTGGGCCAGCTGCGCCTGCTCAAACTGCAGGACCACCCGATATCTCACTTGCCCTCGCTCCTGCGAAAAGGCTCGATACGGAATGCCCACCGGGTGGGAACTGAGTGGGCTTCCTATACCTTCCAGCAAGCTCCCGTATAGGTCAGGGGAAGCTTGCAGGAGTCTCTTCGAACTCTTGAGGTTTCGTTGACTTCCCTTGTAGACCTTCTGGCCACAGACCCTTCTGAAGGATCCCTTCTGACGAGGACAGCGGCGAACAGGTGACTTGTCTTGGGACGTTCCTGGGTGAATCTTGGGTGAATCCAGGTGAATCAGAGAACCCTCCCCCGATGGGAATCCTGAAGTTGCACTCGAAGGGCAGCGGGTTCCGGGAAGGTCGGAAGGTTAGAAGGGAACATTTGCAAAAACAATTCCACCCCATGATGAGCTGAACCCTCTCTGCACGCACCTCCTAGAGAACTCACTTGCACCAAAATCTGATGGATTGTCACTTCCACAAAACCACAAGGCCTCCCCTCTCTGGTGTCCCTCTTCGAAACTCCTTGTCGTAGCCTCCACCGCAGGTGACTGGACAAGCGGACCTCGGCTTGGGTCCACTTGCAGCAGTTTGCATCATGGAACACCGCGTGAAAAGAAAAAAGAAAGAAAAGCCACAAAGAAAGAGGTACAGGACACCTTTGGCCGGCTTGAAGTCCTTCCAAGTTGAACATCGGATCTGTGGGTGTCCTTTTTCGGTGCTTCCATGTGTGCTTTTTCACTGTGAGACCAGTGGTGCTGTCGACCTGTTTTCCCCCAAGCCCTGCTCGGATTGGATCCGCCAGGTGGCCAAGAAGTCCAATCACCAAAACGGCAGTCGCGCTTGGGCCTGGGGAGCCAGCCCAGCCGGAACAGATCAGCGTGGGGGGAGAAGGCGTGTTCCTTCAGCAACAGCTGTTGTTCAGCCCTCCTGAAAGATTTGGGATGAGCCAACCCTCTTTCAACACTGGGGTCTGGTAGAAGGTGGAGGCCATTGCTATTAGGTTAGGCCATTGCTTATAGGAGCAAGGACGCTACTAGGGGCTCCTGGCCTTACTACTAGGAGCAAGAAGCTACTAGGAGCAAAGGGCATCGCTACTAGGAGCAAGGACGCTACTAGGTTGGAGACCATTGCTTCGAACGGTCCTTCTTTTCTGTCGTCCCGAGGCTCCGAGCAGGGCGCCGCACTCGGAGCGGCAGGGCTCCGCCTGACCGGGCAGGGCTCCGAGCCGGGGCATCGCTCAGTGGGATTGGACCTTTATATTGGATAGAACAAACCATCAGCGGCTTAGCACGACGTGGTTTGGATGAAAGCAGGGAGCTTGTTCGCGTTGGGGGCGATGCGAACACGGACAGCTCCGCAGCTCCGCAACTGTGAGATCTTCAGACCCCCCACCTTGCCAAAGAACACCAACGATCTACTATACGTACAATTAGGCATATGTACATACTGTGTATATATATATACACTATATCTATTCGATAGAATATAAGAAATCCACTTAACAAAGAAAAAACTCCACAGCCTTCCCCGCCTCCACTTCTGGTCCCTCGCACGGCTGGCCACCCGCGATCGCGGCCGCCGCCACGCGCCGGTGCCGCTCCTGGCCCGGGCACGGCCCAAACGGCTTGTCGTGTGAAGTTCATCCAACGGAACGGAATGTCGTGCGACGTGATGTCATTTGCGGAGATGTCATTGTCCTCATGTCTCCTCATGTCCTCATGTTCTCGGTTCAGGTTGGCCCCCCTTC